TGAAATCTCTCCCTCTTACCATTCACATTTAATCCATCAGCAAGTTCTATAGATTCTTTCCCCCAAATACTTCTTCAGTCCATGCACCAAGCACTTCCATGATTACTACCCTAGAAAAAGCCACTGTGATCTTGCAACTGAATGACTGCAGCCCCCCGCCCCCAACTGGTCTCCCTACTTTTTGTATCCCTCTAATCCAGGGGTCAGCAGAGTTTTGGAGTAAAGGTACTGATAATAAATATTCTAGGCTCTAGGTGAGTCATACAATCTCTGTGGCAACTACTCAACTCTGCCATTGCAGTGCAAAATCAGCCATAGACAATTTGTAAACGAATGAATATGGCTATATTTCAATAAAACTTTATTTGTGGACACTGAAATTTGAATTTTCTATAACCTTCGTATATCATATAATATTACTCTTCTTTTGAATTTTTTCAGCCATTTAAAAATATGAAAACTATCTTTAGCTTGTAGGTGGTCCAGGCCACTATTTGCTGATCCCATGCTCTAGTCCATTCCTCACACAACATCTAGAAAGACGCTCAGGTCTCCCTTCTGCTTAAATTCTGCACACAGAATAAAACAAAGCAGCAGTGTCTGGGTGCTGCCCGCCCCTCTTACGTCACCCTGGACCTCTCATCCTCTCTATCTTTCTTTCCCAGAAGGTCAAGTTCCCATTTCAGGGCCTTTGCTCACATCAGTCTTTCTACCTGGAATGCCCTCTCCTAGGTTCCCACTTTACCTAGATAAGTTCCATTTGTCTTTTGGGTTTGGGGGCCTTTTTGGGTAGAGAAGCTTAAACTTCCTAGAGAAGTCTTCTCTGACCCTCCCTCCTCCCCGCATTGAAATTATACCCCCCGTATTATTCTCTTATAGCACCATATCTTTTTAATTTTTTTCTTTCCCTTAAAACACTTATCACAACTGGTAATTATGTATTTGGGCCTTAATTTGATTTTAGTGGAAAACTCCATGAAGTCGAGGACTGTTTCTGTCTGTTTTGTTTGCATTGTGGACCAAGCACCCAGCATGGTGTCTGGCATAGCGGGTATTTCCCTTGGAGTCAGCTAAATTAATGGAGTCTCTACCAGCACTCCTCTTTTACCAGTAAGGAGGATGTCAGTGGACTTCAGGGAACGGCCCAAATGAACCAGGGCGTTTCCTAAGCAGAACTCTCCTGGCCTACCAAGCTGACACCTGGACTATGCAGTAGCAAGTCTGTGGAACCTTCTGAAGAATCTGCTCCGGGCAAATTCCTGACCCTGGAGAAGCTTTTCCTAAAAGCCCCACTCTGAAACCTGCTATGCATTTTCACTCTAATGCCATCCATCTGCTGTTCTTCCTGTGCTCCAACCCAGAAAGAGCCTCCCCTACTGAGGTTAACCCCTCTCAGTAACTCTGGGGTTGCCTGAGATCTTAAAAACATAGCTGTTGTATCAGAATACTTTACTCAGCTGCCTGTCAGTAATGCTGCAGCGTGTCCAGCGGCCACGGAGAGAAACACAGAAGCTCTCAGCCTTCTGCTTGTTCTAATCTATCCTCTGCAGGACTGCCAGAGTTACTTTTTAAAAAGCTAGATCTGATCCAATCACTCCCATCCATACTTCCCATTGCCTGTAGGATAAGTCTAAATTCCTTAACCTACTTTGCAAATCTTCACCATTTAATTTCAACACATCTTTCCAGCCTCTTCTTCCATCTGCTTCCACTCCATCTTGAACTCAATACTTTAGATAGTCAAGACTGGAACTGTTCAATACAGTTGCCACTAGCCACTTGTGGCTGTTAAATTTTTAATTAATTAAAATTAGATTAAATTTAAAATTCAGTTCCTTGATCACACTAGCCATATTTCAAGTGCTCAGTAACCACATGTGGCTACCATATTGGACAGCGCAGCTATAGAATGTTTCCATCAGTGCCGAAAATTCTATTTGGACACAACTGTTTTAGACAAGAAGACCCACTCATCATCTTCTAAAATGGCTATTTTAATTATACAATCTATACATAAGTACATTCTCATTGTTAATTTTCTAACATTACAAAAATCTCTTTTATTAATTCTAGACCTCTCCCTAGAGGTCTGAAATCAGTTTGGTATATATTATTTCTGTATATTTTGTGTGTTCTGCCTTTTGCTTTTTTATTCAACAGTGTCTTGGAGGTCTTCATATAAGGACACATCTCTCTCTACTTTGTGCTTAAGTTACTACAGAGTAATCCGAAGCATGAATGAACTTTGGGTTATTTAACCATTGCCCTCCTATGCACATTTGTTTCCAGTTTTTCCTTATTGCAAACAATACGATATTCAAACATCTTTGTATGTTTTTCTGCACTGGTACACATTTTTTTAGGATAGATACCAAAAAGTGGAATTGCTGGGTCACCAAGTCATATGCTAACACCTCTGGGGCTTGGCACACCCTGGTGCTCCCGCCTAGAATGCCTCTCCAGATGACTAATTCCTGCTCATCAAGACCAATCAAGTGCCATGCCTTGTGAGAGGCGGTCTCTTCCTCTCTTTTCTCATAGTTTTTCATGATCTCATTGTATCATTATTGTACGCTTAGGGCTCTGCCTTATTTATATCTGTATTCCCAATATCCAGCATAGGGCTTAGCATGGAGCAAAAATTCAAATGTTTCCTTGACTGGATAAATGAATGAACGAATGAAAGAACAAACAAACAAACAAACAAACAAGTGAAGGCACGGTGGGTAGGACATTCCAGAATTTCAAGGTGAGTGAGTTTGTGAGTATTGTGAGCTTGGGCTTTGGACCTAACTACCACCAGGTGCCTTGAGCCAAGCTGCCTCTCTAGGTTTCTGTCTATCTAGCCCTCTGACCTTGGGCATCTCGAACTCAGTTCCAGTTGGGTACCACACTGATAGAGCAAGATGAGTATGTAGGGGCTCTGGCTGCAGAGCATAGAAATCTGAGCCCTGGGAGCAGCACTAGCGGGGGTTTGGCTTTTCAAGGGCAGCTCTATCTCCTTTCACCTTGAAGCAGCAGGGGATGCTCTGTGATTTGGTTTATTTTTTCTCCCTAGGGGGCAATTAGGATCAGCTGCAACATTTCTGCTTACTGCTTCCAGATTGAACCCAAGACAAGCCAGATGTTTTCCACCCGGCACCCACTCCTTGTAGTCTGTTGAATAGCCCATTTTTCTGAGTCTCTCTGGGACCTGGCTTCTCCAGATCTCAGAGCACGGCTTGCAGCCTTTGTTTTTAATGGGAGTTTAATAGGTGGCTCCTGTAATTAATTTCATTCTTGTGTTTTCATTCTTTCTGTCTAGGTGCCTAAAGGCCTCCAGGCATTAGGTGGGATGTTAACTGGTTTTAAATAATACAAAACACTGTGGCTGTCACAGCTCTTATTTGCAGTTATTAATTATTAATTTATACAATTATTAATTAGCTGGGGCACATGGCCCATTTGGGAGGTCAGCCCGGTCATCTGTCATGTTTTATAGAGGTAGAAACAGAGATATAGAGAAAAGGGACTTGACCAAGCCCCAACAGAGTGGGAGTTGAAACTGGTTTCAGAAGCACATCCTGCTGGGTACACACCCTTGTGAGCGTCAAGGCAAGGATCCACTACTCAGGTACTACTTGCCAAGCGGCCAGAGGCCCCAGGCCAAAGGTGACATGTCTTGTGGGCCTCACAGGCATCTTGGGGAGGCAGTTTCACCCTCCCACAAGGACTACAGAGCAAGTCCGCCCTCATTAGCTAACACTACCACTTGAAATTACCCCCATTCATTCTCTTCAGGTCTTTTCCCATTTTATGAGTGTATTTATCTGCATAAAGAATGCGTCAGTGATTCCTCCCGGATTTAGAAACATAATTTTGCTATTTTTAATGCTGCTGTTTAAAAATCCGTGCACACGTACGCACACCCCTCAGGGAGTATATGACAGTGTGCGTGGGGGTGGGGAGCGGGGTAGGGGGTGGGAAGGGAGAGTACGTGCTGGAGAGAGAACAGTGTGACCCTCCGCCTCCCAGAGCGCTGCGCCGTCCTCCTTGGAGCTCACCCCCGCCTCTCCAGTCGCGAGCGAATTTGCACGGTCTGGACCCTCCGAGCGCCCCGGGCGTCTGACCCCGCCGGCCCGCGCCTACTCTTGCCTGCCAGACGGAGGGCACGGCCGCCGGGTCACCAGCCCAGGAGCGAGCGGGAGGGGCGAGGAGGCCTAGCAGGTGGCGCTTAGGTCAGCTTCGGAACATTCTTGGACCGCTCCAGTGGATATAAATAACAGACGAGCAGCCTCCGAAAAATCCTAGGTGGGGGTAAAGGGGTGAGGAAGAAGGGATTTATTTAGGGTGAGGTGGCATCCTGGCGATCTGGAAAAATCCACCAAAGCTGGTGACTGACAAGGGGGTGGAGGGGCAAAGGGATTTAAGAGTAAATAGTAGTACAAAATCTGGCAATAGGAACACGGAGGGGGAGGAGCTCGTGCATTTTGCCCCACCCCCACCGCGTGTCTGTCCCAGGCCTCGGAATTCGCCCCAGATTGGCAGGCAGGTCTGTGCGTGGAAAGGGCACGGCTTTGGAGCCCTGGCCGTGATCGACTACAGATCTTGTGCAAGCCGCTGAAGGTCTCCGAGATTGTTTTCCGCGTCTGTACAGTGGGAACCCCAATGCTTACAAGGGGATGGTTGTGAGCCATGCCGGAGCTAACTTTTAAGAAATCTGTGATCAGCAAAAAAATGTAAGGCAGTGCAGCCCTCAGGCCTCCCTCTAAGGGGTGTCCGTGCAGGCCTGGTCCCTTCCCGGTTCCACCGGTCTCCCAGATTCTACAAAGGCGGGGAGGGGCAAAGCTGAAATCGGACTCCCTGCAGCGGCACTGCTCCACCCTGGGGACTCGGCCCTGGCGTTTCTCACGCGGGAGCCGCGCGTTGCCGCTATGCCTGCAGCCCCTGCGCCCGCCGATGGCCCGTGGGGTTGGGGCCGCGGCGACGAGAGGGCGGGGCCGGGGGCTGGGCTTCCCGGGGGAGGGCCCGGTGCGCTCCGGGAGGCGGCGGCCGGGGCCGGAGAGTGTCAGGACTCGGGTCTGAGCGTGGCCGGACCCCCTCTAGCCGAGGATCGCAGAGAGGACGCTGTGAGTACTGCCCCGGCCGGGACCGGTGGGAGGCGGTGGCGGGAGCGCCGGCTCGAGCCCGTTCTCTCCACCCTCTCACTCCTGAAGTTTGCAATGGGACCAGCTCCCGCCCCAGGAGCCCCTGGCCACCCGGCCTGAACGAGGACGGGAAGAGCTGCCTGAACCGAGGGGTGTCTCATCTGCGGCGCTGAGTACCCTGCAATTCCCTGGGCCGGCCGGGGGTTGGGGGCGTCGCTACTGGAGGGCCACACCATCTCCAGGGGCCTCTTAAGGGCCCCAGACCGCCCTGTGCTCTCTGTCGACCTTTTGCCTTCTGCAAAGAGCCCTAATTCCTGGGGTCGCTGCCCCGGGTCGCTCTCTGGAGTCCACGGCAAGATCCCACCCCCGCCGAGACCGAGTTCAGCAAGTTTAGCCAAGAAGTCCCAGAGCCTACATGGCTAGGCCTGGCCAGGCAGCTCCGCGTGGACTCCACGGGCTCCGAGTTGTGCAGTGCCCGGCCGGCAAGAGAGACTGGTTGACGGGTGCCGTCAATAGGGTTGAGACCAGAGCCCGGCGGCCCTTGGGCTCTAAGGTTTGGTTTGGAGGCTCTGGGTTTGGAGTGCGTCATCAGGGAGCAGGCACCTTGGCCGGCAGGTCGGGTTTCCAAAAGTGCCCCTTTGTTATGCCCCTCCCTGGCCCTGCCTCCTCCCCTTTCCCCGCGCCACCCCCTCCCCCAACCACCGGGGCCGCGGGTCCCAGCCGCTGTAGCTTAGGTGTCCGTCTCTGGATCAGTGTCCTGCCATCTTCTGTGCATTCAAATCCTAGAGCTGCCGGCCCACCGGGAGGAGCTGCTAGGAGGAGAGGCCCTTGGGTGCAGCCTGTGACTCAGGACAGAAGATGGGCAGGGCAGGATGGCAGTGCTCCCTCCCAGGGGCATGCCCCAGCTTCTGGAAAGGGTGGGAGCTGGTCCGGGCAGGGGTTACCTACCATTTCAAGTAGGGAGAGTGGGTTCTTCCTTGAATCCCAGGACTCCCTACCTTGGCCCAGGCAACTATGAAGAGACCCTGCCAAGCCCCAGCCAACCTCTCTGGGCCCAGGAAGTGCTGGCTCCCTGGGCTGGGAAGCATTCACTATTTGCTTTCTGAGCCCTTTTCTGTGGCAGTGCGTTCTGGGGACCCATCAGAGTCTCTGCTGAGGTCAGGAGGCACAGGGTGCTGGCCTTCCATAACAGGCCAAGGCGCAAGGCCCACTCCTGTAGCTAAATCAATCTTGGTCTGTGGGGCCTGGCTGTGCTTGGGGTTTGGGCTTGTGTTTGCTCTGGAAGGCTGGAGGGAGCAGTGCCAACCCTGTACACACAGCCTGCTCTGTTCTGGGGCCAGAGAAAGAGAATGGGTGGGGGGCAGCTCTCCCGGGAGTTGGGAGCATGGAGGCTGGAGCAGTCAGGGGCCCTGGGCCCCTGGATGCCTGACTGGGACAGCTCTGAAGGCCCTGTGATTTACAGCTGCAGCTCTGGTTCTCTCCATCTGGTTGGCAAGTTGTTTCTGGGCAAATGGGACAGACTCAAGAGGAAGCAAGGAGAAGCGCTGAGGACTCCAATGGGGCCAATTGCTCTGCCCCTGTCCTGCTCTGTGCCCAGGCACCTCCATTGCAGGCCTGAGCTCTCCCTCCTGTTAGCTTAGGGGTAGAAGCTTACTCAGGCCAAGCTTTCTCACAGCTGCTATAGCCAGTGGGTTTCCCAGTCTTCAGGGGATGTCATTTGTTTTTTCATTCAACTACTAACTCCAGTGTCTGGAGGAACCCAAATTGGACTCTCAGGAAGTCTCTGTCAATGACTGGGGACTGATCCTGTCTTATCAATTACAACCCAGTGGGATGTATACCCCGACTGAGTGGGTATATAGTGGCTTTGAGAATGAGGGTGGAGGAATTGGAGGGGGTGACTGTGGAGAAGATGCTTCAATTTGAGTTTTGAACAAAGGATAGAGGTTCACCAATTTGGAGGGGAGCACTGTAATGGAGCCCTGCTTTGGGGGCAACAGGCACACTCTGTCGTCATTGGCCCCGGCGGTGTCCTCTGGGCTTGCTCAGAAGAGGAAGCGATTTCCTTCTATGGGCTTGAGTCGGTGCTGGGGACAGCTGAGACCCTGCACAGAGGCAGGAGGGGAGTGGCTATGTGCCACTGTGACTTCTAGCCCCTGGGGTGGTGGCTCTGGGGTTGGAATCTGCCTTGCCCTCTTCTGCGATTCTGGAGAACACTCTTAGAACTGATCACCTGTTTGAGTCCCTCATGCTGCCCCAGACTCTGGGCTTTTGAGGGCAAGGATGAGTTGCTTGTTACCCACAGAGCTTTGTGGGACCTCAGTGGATGCTGTGGAACAGGGTGAGTGTCTCCTTGTGACTGTTAGGCCCCTCACATTGCTTGTTCATTGCCTGGCTTGAATGTTAAACCAGCCCTGGTACAGAAGCAGACCAGGAGGCGGAATTTCCATCTTAGGAGTGAGCTGAGGCTCCCTTAGGAGGGGTTAGTAAAATGCACTTGTTCAAGCTTCTTGGCCAAGATAGGATTCAGGCCTCTGGTTCCCAGTCC